GACGGCCTCACGGACACAGACTTCCAGTCTTGCGAGGACAGCCTCATAGAGAACGAGATTCACCAGTAAGGGGAGGGAGGGGCCCTGGAGGCCACGCCCTGCCCTGCCCCCCACCCCCCACGGACACTAAAACGCTAATAATTTATTAGATCTAAGGCCCCTTCCTCCCCCATCCCCTGCTTTCATTAAGGTATTTAAACCTTGGGGTTTTGCTGCTCTCCCCTGTGATGGAGGGAGGGAAGGAGCCCCCCAACCTCAGTGAGGAGAGCCCCGAGCTGGCCCCGGGGCAAAGAGGGGTGTGGAGGGAGTTCCCCCATATCCGTGTCTCCCCCCCAGCTAGTAGTGTGGCCAGGAAAGGGTTAATGAGAGCCAAGAGGGGTACCTGGTGCCGTGGCTGGAGACCTGGGGGGCAGGCGGATGCGGGGCTGCCCCTCAGTTCTTTCCTCCCCCCAGTCCCCCCTGGGACCTGGCCCTCCAGGGAAGCGGAGCCTCCAGCCCCTGCGCATGCATGAGAGGGGAGGGGTGCTGAGTGGGAGGAAGAGTCAGGCCCGCCGGGGGTTGACCTGGGGTTGGGGGTGGGCAGGGTTGCCCTTGGAAATTGGTTTTTTGCCTTTTTTTTTTTTTTTTTTTCCTTTAAAATAAAAATGAAGAGAAAAGCTCTGAGGCAGGTGTCTGACTTGTGCTGCTGTCCTGGGCACAGAGGCTGGCCTCCCCACCTTCCCGTTGGCCTGGTGTGCCTGTTCCGGGTCCCTGCATGATCCTGGACAAGGAACATCTTATTTGGAGTCTCATTTCTCTATCCGGAGAGGAGAGTGCGGCCAAGGAGAGACTTTGCAGGGGTCTCAGAGGCAGGAAGGGCCGGGGATCAGGTGCCTACCACACCAGCCTCACCCCCTCTGACCCTTCCTCTGAATCCCTGAGTGACACACACAGGACAGAGACCTGGGAGGCTGAGGCAGGAGGAATGCTTGAGGCTGCAGTGAGCTATGATGATACCACTGCATTCTAGCCTCGGTGACAAAGTGAGACCCTGTCTCTAAATAGAATATGTAACTAAGTAAATAAAAAAATAAAGAGATCCAGGAGGGAAAGGTTGTGCAAAGACACAAGTGCCACATGGTCCAGGAAAAAGGCCTCCTGAGCATCTCAGAGTGAGCCTGGCCCCAGCCCATCTGTCCGGTCCCCAAGAGTGCCTGGGCCCCTCCCTGAAAAGCCCCTTCCCACTGCAACCCAATCTTATCAATTCTCAAAGACCCGACTCAAATTCGCGTTCTGTGCGATCCGCACCTGCGCCCCCACGCACAGTATGAGCCGCGTGTACAGCGGCCGGGGGGCCCACACTGCAGTCCTGATCCGGTCACTGACTCGCTGTGCAGCCCTGACAAAGCTGCCTCTCTGCACCTGTGTCCTCCTCCGTAAAACCTGGGATTATGACCAGGCGACTCCCAAGGCCCCTTGGAGCCCCTCCTGCCCGGAGAAGAGAAGAGGCCTCAGAGGAGGAGAACCGGGTACCACAAAGTCCTGTAGATCTGGGGTCCCCAGCCCTCAGGCTGCAGACCAGTCCCAGTCGTGCCTGTTAGGAACCAGCTGTCCCCAACACCCCTCCAGACCCCCCACCCCCGTGAGCGCACGGCAAGCAAGCTTCATCTGCGTTTACAGCCACTCCTGTCGTGTCCCAACCCCATCGCCCCATCACCCCCCAGCCCACCTCCAGTCTTCCATGAAACTGGTCCCTGGTGCCAGAAATGTTGGGGACCACTGCTGTAGTTATTCAGCAAGAAACCACCAACAGTGGGGACAGCAGCCAGGGCACCAGCAAGGGGCAGGAGCAAACTGCCTGGGGTCCAGGCTGCAGAGATACTGCAAACACGGCTTGGAGGGCCAGCGTTTTCCGGGGGCCGGCTGTGGGCGGAGGGGCGGGCCAGTTACAGCAGAGATGAAAGTCAGGGCCTTGTTCCCAGCCCTCACATATATGTCCAATCTGCAGCCTCTTGAGATGTGACCTCCCAGGTGGAGACCCCAGAGTCCTCGGAACAGGGAGCTTCCAGGCCATGGGTGGGGGAGCAGAGTGCCTGGAGGGTGCAGAAATTGGCGTGGCTTTGCAAGGAGCACCCTGGTTGTGTGAGGGCTGCCCGGTGCCCCGGAGCTGTTTTCTGCATGGGCGGGCGGACACACCACTGCCATTTGCTGTGTGCACAGCCTGCCCCGGACAGACCTCAGCCCTCGCCCTGCTCAGCCTAGACCCCCTGGCTCCTCCCCTGCCCAGTGTGCCTCCCCTACTGTCCAGGGACACCTCCCTAACCCCTCCTGGTGGGTCTCCTGGCAGGACCTAAAGCTCAAAACCAGGTTCCCACATCTCCCGATGTGCAACTCCAGATCATGCCCAAACCACAGGGAGCAAAGGTCCTGAGGAGGGCCCTGCCCCAGGTTGGGTGGCTTTAGAGAGGAGAGCACCCACGCCCACCCATACCCTGCCCCTGGCGTCTCGTCACAGGCAGGGCTCAGGTTACCGTGTGAGTGCCCAGCTCTGTGCGAGGCACTCCAAGAAGCACAATGGTGGAGTCACAGAAGAGGGAGGAGAGCCCACAAAGAGCCCCAAAGTCCACTTCACATCCTCATTTTGCAGCTGGTGGCAGCAGAAGATAATGGACAAGAGGTGAGGCTTTAGGTTCAAATCCTGGCTCAGCCACTTATAAGCTGTGTGACCTTGGGTAGCTTATAGCATCCCTCTGGACCTCAATTTTCTCATCTATAAAATGTGAATAATGATACCATTCATTATCCTCAAGCTGTTTTAAGAATTAAATAAGTGGAAAGCTCTTAGCCCAATTTGGTATATAATGAGAACTTAAATTATTAATATAATTAATATTCTTATCAGTGAGGAAATTGAGGCCCAGAAAGGGGAGTAGGGGAGGACTGGCCCAAGGTTGGGTGGTGTCAGAACTTAGAACAAGGCTCTGCAATTCCATCTGGAGTCTGCTCTGTGCCTGATGAACTCCAGGCAGGGTGAAGGGGTCTGGAGCACCCTCAGCAGTCTCTGCTCACAATAATCGCAGGTACCGGTGAGGACTGCTCTCGGGAGCACGGTCCCGGCTCCGAGCAGCCCCCTTTCTTACAGAGAGCCACACACAGCCAGACAGTGGCCTGACCGTGTCAGACTGTGGCTAGTCAAGGAGAATGTTGTGAGTTGACTTGTCCCTCAAAAAGATATGTTGAGGCCGGGCGTGGTGGCTCACGCCTGTAATCCTAGCACTTTGGGAGGCCGAGGCGGGCGGATTGCTCAAGGTCAGGAGTTCGAAACCAGCCTGAGCGAGACCCCGTCTCTACCAAAAATAGAAATAAATTAATTGACCAACTAAAAATATATATACAAAAAATTAGCCAGGCATGGTGGCGCATGCCTGTAGTCCCAGCTACTCGGGAGGCTGAGGCAGTAGGATCGCTGAGCCCCGGAGATTGAGGTTGCTGTGAGCCAGGCTGACTCCACGGCACTCACTCTAGCCTGGGCAACAAAGTGAGACTCTGTCTCAAAAAAAATAATAATAAATAAATAAATAAATAAATAAAAAATAAAAATAAAAGATATGTTGAAGTCCTAGCCCCCAGTACCTCAAAATGTGACTTTATTTGGAAAATAGGGTCATTACAGATGCAATTCCTTAAACTAAGATGAGGTCATACTGAGACAGGTGGGCCCCTAGTCCCATACTACTAGTAAGAAGAGAAAGAAGGCTGGGTATGGTGGGTCACACCTGTAATCCTAGCACTCCAGGAGACCAAGGCGGGAGGATCGCTTGAGTTCAGGTGTTCGAGACCAGCCTCAGCAAGAGCAAGACCCCAGAGACACTGTCTCTACTAAAAATAGAAAAATTATCTGGGTGTGGTGGTGCATGCCTATAGTCCCGGCTACTCGGGAAGCTGAGGCAAGAGGATTGATTGAGCCCAAGAGTGTGAGCTATATGAGTTATATAGCTCATTGCAGTAAGCTATAATGATGCCACTGCACTCTACCTGAGGAGACAGAAGAGACTCTCTCTCAAAAAAAAATAAAAATAGAAATTAGGCCAGGTGTGGTGTATTCCTAGCACTCACGCCTGTAATCCTAGCACTCTGTGAGGCCAAGGCGGGTGGATTGCTTGAGGTCAGGAGTTCGAAACCAGCCTGAGCAAGAGCCAGACCCCATCTCTACTATAAATAGAAAGAAATTAATCGGCCAACAAAATATACATAGAAAAAATTAGCCGGGCATGGTGGCTCCTGCCTGTAGTCCCAGCTACTCGGGAGGCTGAGGCAGGAGGATTGCTTGAGCCCAGGAGTTTGAGGTTGCTGTGAGCTAGGCTGATGTCACGGCACTCACTCTAGCCTGGGCAACAAAGTGCGACTCTGTCTCAAAAAAAAAAAAATTAGAAATTAGTCGGGCAACTAAAATAACAAAAAATTAGCCGGGTGTGGTGGTGCACTCTTGTAGCTATGGGAGGCTGAGGCAGGAGGATCTCTTGAGCCCAGGAGTTCGAGGTCTCTGTGAGCTAAGCTGACACCACAGGACTCTAGCCTAGGCAAAACAACAGAGGAAGACTCTGTCCAAAAAAATAAATGAATAAAGAGAAGAGAAGGGAACAGAGGAGAGTGCCATGTGAAGACACAGAGACATAGGAAGAACGCCATGCCAGTGGCTTTTGGAAATGAGAAGGCTTTCTGGATGAGAAGGTTAGGTTGGTGTGTCAGGGACAGCCCCTTCCTGGAAGCCTTGGGCTGAAAGAGAGGGACTCGGACCTGCCATGGCCATGGCCGATGGTACAGTGAGGACGGCCAGCCTAGTGGAGGTCGCCCGGGGTGGGAGTGCCGGGTCCTCTGTCTCTGAGGCGGGGGCGACCTGGGCTGGGGGACCGAGACTGGCCTGATGGGAGGAACTGAGTTGCTGGCAGCACCGGTCTGTGGGGGACAGATGGGAAGGGGAGAACGGGAAGGCAGCTGTTAAACGGGCCACTGACCTAGGAATCCCACTGCAATTAGAGAGTTCTGGTGGGGGGGTCTCTCCGCCCCCTCCCCCCAGAACCTTCAACTGTCAGGCTCCATGCTAGCCGCCAGCATGCTGCAATCCCCAGGTGGGTGCCTCGGGGCAATAGCTCACTCCTGCACCCCTGCAGACCAGGGCCTCCCCAAGGAAGGGCTGTGTCTCCATCAGACTGGGTGCCCCTTAAGGATGGGGACTTTGACTCCTCCATCACACTGGGTGCTCCCTAAGGCAGGAGCGGGGCCTCTTCCTCTGACTGTTTGGGAAGGAGCCGGCCGCTGACGACCAGAGAGGGTGGGAGGCCAGGGCAGGAACCTCCCTCCTTCCCTCCACTGAGGGGCTGGAAGTGGGAGAGGAGCTGACCTGCCCGGCCACTGTCATGGCTGCCTGGGAAAAGGGCTTGCGTGAGGAAGCCCAAGCAGCCATTAGAGAAGAAAACAGGGAACAGAGGAAACCTCGCCCACGCCTAGAAAAGCAGTCCCTCAGTCCAGGCAGGTCAGACCCCAAGAGGGTGGCCCGAGGCCTGGAGGCCGGACTGCAGGAGCTGGGGGAGTGTGGGCTCCCGGGCGGGGCAGGGCTGGGCCCAGCTGAGTTGTTCCTCTGGGGGCTGAGGGGTCAGAGGGCGGCCAGGCTCAGCCAGTAGAAGGGCTCAGCCCGGGGCCTCACCCTCAGCATGGGGCATGGGGAGTTGAGGGGGGAGCTGCAGTTCCCCTATAAGGGGCTGCAGCTTCTAAACCAGCCCCCACTGTTTACCATCCCAGGAAGTAGGCACAGCCAGAGACCCCAAACCAAGTCCTTGCTCCTCGGAAGTTTCCTGGGACAACATCTGAGTTTCCTCCCAGCTCTGGAAATCGAGCTGTCCATAAATCTGCAGGTCCCCGAATAGCAGTGCACTGTATTTTGAAAGTCACTAAGACAGTGGATTGTAAGTCCTCTCACCACAAAAAATGTTGAGTATGTGAGGTCATGCAGATGTTAATTAGCTCTAGGAGTCATTCCACAATGTATCCGTATTTCAAAACACCATGTAGTACATGACAAATGTATACAATTTTTGTTAATTAAAGAAAAATAAAATCGATGTAGTTTTAAAAAAAATACAGGTGCCCAGACCGATGGGAAAGACAGTATATGCACCGAGACAGAAAGCCTTCTACCCATTCATGCCTTTTAATATTCAGTAGTCCCCCCTTGATCTTCCGTTTCACTTTTTTGTGCCTTTATTCACCTGCAGTCCACTGTGGTCTGAAAAAATATTAAGATATTTTGAAAGAGAGAGAGACTACATTCATATAATTTTATTACAGTATATTGTTATAATTATTCTTTTTTATTATTAGTTTTGGTTGTAAATCTCTTTCTGCAGTCCACTGTGGTCTGAAAAAATATTAAGATATTTTGAAAGAGAGAGAGACTACATTCATATAACTTTTATTACAGTATATTGTTATAATTATTCTTTTTTATTATTAGTTTTGGTTGTAAATCTCTTTCTGTGCCTAACAAGTTCAACTCTATCATGGGTATGTATTTATAAGAAAAGACATAGCCTCTGGGAGGCCGAGGATTCCTCGAGATCAGGAGTTCAAAACCAGCCTGAGCAAGAGCAAGACCCCATCTCTACTATAAATAGAAAGAAATTAATTGGCCAACTAATATATATAGAAAAACTTAGCTGGGCATGGTGGCACATGCCTGTAGTCCCAGCTACTCGGGAGGCTGAGGCAGCAGGATGGCTTGAGCCCAAGAGTTTGAGGTTGCTGTGAGCTGACGCCACGGCACTCTAGCCAGGGCAACAGAGTGAGACTCTGTCTAAAAAAAAAAGAAAAGAAAAGAAAAAGAAAAGACATAGTGTATGTGGGATTACTATCCACGGTTTCAGGCACGCACTGGGGGACTTAGAACCTATTCCACTCAGATAAGGGGGCTGGTGTATTGCTCTGGCCGTCGGCCTGTGCTTCCCGCAGGCACCTTGGTCTGTCTGTCTCAGCTCGCCCATGCCCCTGGACCACGTGACGGGGCTTTGCTGGGTCTCCCTCTCTAAGGAGATCCTCTAGAGTTTTTGATGACATCTGTGGTGTTGCGTGTGGGCGTGTAAGTCTTCCTGCCGTTGGAGCTGAGGCAGGAGCTCGGCCCCTGCACGTGCAGGTTGTAAGCAGTGAGAAGTGAGTGCTTGGGCTGGGTGACGGCCAGGGTGCAGAGGGCTCCAGGTAGACAAGGAAGGCACGATGGAAACTTTATTGCCTTGGCCTGCCCTCAGATGTTCTCTGCAACCCTGGGAGAGCTCCACACCCCAATGCTGGGGGCAGCCAGGGTAGAGAGGTCTCCTGGGAGTGATCCCATAGTGAAGGGCATGGAGCAGTTCACGTCACTGTGTGGGTGGCCTTAGAGGATCCACTTAACCCAGGTTTGTCAACCTTGGCACTTGACATTTTGGGGCAGAAAATTCTTTGCTGTGAGGGCTGCCCTGTGCATTGTAGGGTGTTTAGCAGCACCCCTGGCCCCTACCTACTAGATGCCGGTGGCTCCCCCAGCCCCAGTTGTGACAACCAAAAATGTCTCTAGACATTGCCGAGTATTCCCTGGGGGGCGAAATGCCCCCTCCCCCCTTGAGAGCCTCTGACTTAACCTCTCTGGGGAGGCCCTGGCCTCTACCCAGGCCAGATGGGCATGGTCATTCCTGACCCGCCAGCTTCGCAGGTAAGGATCAGAGGGTAAAACCGAAGTGTTCAGTCCTCACCTCTCCCCCACAGCACTCTTCATCTATGGGGGCTCCACTGTTTGTCCCCCATGGTCCCCGCTCTCGATCTGTTTGGACAAGGAAATAAGCCACTCACTTACCCTCTCCTCCCCACACTGTGCCCCCTACACACATGCACACACTCGTATTCCTTTTCCCATAGCCTGAACAACTGAGGGAGCTTCCTCCAGGTTTTCTGAGAGAATCTGAGGGCTTGGGTTGCAAGAGAGAGGGTTGAGAAACATGGAGAGGAAGGTGCAAGCGAGAGCTCCCAGATTCTGGCTCCACCCACCCTCTTCCCCACTCCCCAACCCAATTCTTCCAGAACCAGGAATTCACAGTGCACCCACCACTGGGGAGGGGGGGATGAGCTCAGAGCAGGGGAAAGGGACAGTTACCCCCACACGCACACCTCCCTGATTATTCCACCCAGCCTGGGGGCCTCATTCCCTGGCACCTGCTGTTCCCTATCTCTGTGGCCCATGGGGCTGAGCCTGGGGAGGGGCCTCGTGGGATCTTCTCCGAGCTCAGGTGGGGGTCTGTCTCCTCAGTTCCCAGCCCAGAATAAATCCTCCATAAAACGTGTCTGAGGTGAACTGGGGTTTGCTCTCAGGAGCTCAAACCTAGCAGCAGAGACAGACAAGCACACAGATGACCCCAGTTGTAGAGCAGTGTCCCTGTTGTCACTAAGTCCTATGAGGGAGGGTGCGTCTGGGGTGCAGAGCAGGGGCTGTGTGATCCTCACAGGAGCTCAGCACATACCCGTTGACCAGTTAGGTCAGTGGGAGACGACAACTAACGTTCTCCAAGTGCCTGCTAAACGCCAGTCTTTTTCACACATGTTGTATTATTTAATCCCCAAACACCCTCCAGTTATTAAATATAAAGTAGCCTCTTTATTTATTTATTTTTCTGAGACAGAGTCTCACTCTGTTGCCCAGGCTAGATTGCCGTGGCGTCAGCCTAGCTCACAGCAACCCCAAACTCCTGGGCTCAAGCAATCCTCCTGCCTCAGCCTCCCGAGTAGCTGGGACTACAGGCATGTGCCACCATGCCTGGCTCATTTTTTTCTGTATATTTTTAGTTGGCCAATTAATGTCTTTCTATTTATAGTAGAGACAGGATCTTGCTCTTGCTCAGGCTGGTTTTGAACTCCTGACCTTGAACGATCCTCCCGCCTCGCCCTCCCAGAGTGCTAGGATTACAGGCGTGAGCCACCGCGCCCGGCCTAGTTATTAAATATAAAGCAGCCTCTTTATACAGGTGAAGAAACTGAGGCTCAGGGAGGCAACGTGCCCAGGTCACACAGCGAACCGCTCTGGCTCCCGTGCAGCCCAGGGCACAGGATCTGCTTAAGGGGAAGAAGCTGCGCCCCCACACCCCCGTTTCCAACACCTGCCTCCTCCCTCGATGCCTCCTCCAGGCTGCCCTGCAGAGGAGAAGTGACTAACAAAGACCACAGACCACACAGAAACTGTAGTCAGATGGAGGGAAGGAGGCACCGGCCTGCTGGCCTCGCTCTTCCCTTTCCAGACAGCTCTGCCTCCCCTGTGGCTGCCTCCCAGCTGGGCGGCCAGCAGGATAGGCAAGAGCATGCAGCCATCTGCCCACCGAGCATGGGGCCACAACCTGTCTGTGGCCCAGTTTCTGCACCTGTAGCAGGGAAGTGGTAACAACAGGCTTACCCGACAGAGTTGTGGTGAGGATTCAGTGAGCTAATGCAGGTAGAGTGTTTGGAGTGGTGCCAGGCAGGTGGTGAGCCCCCAGACACTGCTAACTACTGTCATTCTCACAAATGCCACGTAAGTGCTAGCTGCTCTTACAGCTGAGGGAAAGAATTCCTAATCTCTTCTCATCATGGGACATGGGCTCTGTGGAAGCAGCAAAGGACAGGATCCTGGGTCCCTCTTCAACCTGATTCCTTTTTTTTTGACAGAGTCTTGCTCTGTTGCCCAGGCTTGAGTGCGTGGCATCAGCCTAGCTCACAGCAACCTAAAACTCCTGGGCTCAAGCAATCCTTCTGCCTCAGCCTCCAAGTAGCTGGGACTACAGGCATGTGCCACCATGCCCGGCTAATTTTTTTCTATATATTTTTAGTTGTTCGGCTAATTTCTTTCTATTTTCAGTAGAGATGGGGTCTCGCTCTTGCTCAGGCTGGTCTTGAACTCCTAACCTCAAGCCCCAGGGTGCATGTGCCAGTAGCACAGATGGCGACTCTGTGGCCTCCTCTTGCTCCTCCCTTACTCTCTTCTCCTCTGGCCTCTTTCTCTTCACCCGGGTCTGCTGGTGGGGACGGGGGAGTCAGCTGTGTGTGCGTGGGGGTGGGGGCGATCCTCAGGAGGGGATGTAAGCAGGGTGCAGTCCCCCTGGGGGCTGAGGTATGGCAGAGCTCCTGGGTCCCCAGGCTACGTGCCTGGCTCAGGGTCTATCAGCCAGCCTGACTTTCACCCGCCCCCGCCCCTGTTGGGACATTCCCTAACTCGCCCACCCACCCCCTGCAGCCCTGCCCCCGCCCTCCTGCCCTCTACACTCCATTGTTCCCACTCTCCCCAAAAGGCAGTCTCTGTTTGGGTGGTCTGGAAGCTATTTTTTTTAACAGCTTCATTGAAATATAATTCACATACAATACAATCACCCATTAAAGTATCAATTTCATAGCGTTTAGTATATACACAGAATTATGCATCCATCACCACAATCAATTTTTAGATCATCTTAGATCATTCAGATCATACTCTTTAGCCATCAACTTCCAGTTCCCCATCCCCCTGAGCCCTAGGCAATCTCTTTCCATCTCTATCTAGATTTGCCTATTTCAGAGCAGGTCTCACTCTGTTGCCGCTAGAGTGGCCATGGCATCAGCCTAGCTTCAACAGCAACCTCAAACTCCTGGGCTCAAGCAATCCTCCTGCCTAGCCTCCCAAGTAGCTGGACTACAGGCATGCGCCACCATGCCTGGCTCATTTTTTCTATATATATTAGTTGGCTCAAATTTCTTTCTATTTATAGTAGAGACGGTTCTGCTCTTGCTCAGGCTGTTTCGAACTCCTGACCTGAACAATCCCCTGCCTCGGCCTCCCCCAGAGTGCTAGGATTACAGGCGTGACCACCACGCCGGCCCTATTCAGACATTTTATATAAGTGTAATCATACAATACCAGGGTTCTTTAGGACTGGCGTTTTCAACTTAGCATGTTCGTAAGGTTCATGCATGTTGCAGCATGCTCACTGCCTCGGTTCTCTGTGTGGTTGGATTATCACTCCACTGTTTGTACAGCCCCGTTTTGTCCATTCTTCAGCTGATGGACATTGGAGGTTTTTCCATTTTTTGGCTATATGAATAATGCTGGCTGGGCGTGGGTGGCTCATGCCTGTAATCCTAGCACTCTGGGAGGCCGAGGCAGGCTGATTGCTTGAGGTCAGGAGTTCGAAACCAGCCTGAGCAAGAGCCAGACCCCGTCTCTACTATAAAGAAATTAATTACCCAACTAATACGTATAGAAAAATGAGCCGGCATGTGGCGCATGCCTGTAGTCCCAGCTACTTGGGAGGCTGGAGGCAGCAGGATTGCTTGAGCCCAGGAGTTTGAGGTTGCTGTGAGCTAGGCTGACGCCACGCACTCACTCTAGCCTGGGCAACAAGTGAGACTCTTCTCAAAAAAAAAAAAAAAAGAATAATCTGCCATGAACATTTGTGGCATAGTTTTGCATGGGCATATATTTTCATTTCTCTTGGGTATATACCTAGAAGTAAAATTGCTGGGTCACATTTATGTTTAAATGTTTAAGGAGCTGCCAGATATTGCTTCCAAAGTGGCCACACCTGTTCAGTCCCATCAGCAGTGTATGAGGATTCCAATTTCTCCACATCTTGGCCAACACTTGTTATTATCTTTTTGTTATAGCCGTCCTAGTGGATGTGAAGTGGTCTCGATTTCATTGTGGTCCTGATTTTTATTGCCCCTACTAATGATGTTGAGTATTTTTTTATGTGACTACTGGTCATTTGTATATCTTCTTCTGAGAAATACCTATCTGGTGTTTTAATTGGGTTATTTGTCTTTTCATTATTAAGCAGAGTCCACTTTTCCCAGTAAGGGAATGGTGGCTCACATAAACATCACTCGACTCAAGGCTAAGGGTGTGGGCCAACACCACAATGCCCAGAACTACGGCAACCAGAGCTTTGAGGAGCTGCAAGCAGCCTGTCTGAGGAAGGGGGAGCTGTTCGAGGACGCCTTATTCCCTGCCAAACCCAGCTCGCTGGGCTTCAAGGAACTAGGCCCCGACTCCAAGAATGTCCAAAACATCTCCTGGCAGCGGCCCAAGGTGGGCACTGGAAGGCGAGGTGCGGGTGGAGGGGCTGGTAGTGACTCCCAGTCATTTCTGTAATCTCTAATCCCCACCACCCTGTGCTGACCCTGGCACTGGGCCCCACCAGAGGCGGCTGGGTGCAGCGGGCACCGTTCCCAACAGGCTGAAGCCAAACCTCCCAGCTAACCCTGGGGAAGCCACTCACCCACCTTTGCTATCACAAGCCATGGCTATGCCAAGCTGGCCCTGCACCCTCTCCCTCTCCCCGTATCTGTGCCCCTAGAACTTGGGGGTAGGCACCCTTCCCCGGTAAAGGCGGGAGGGAGGCGGGGAGGGGGTGTCCTGGGTCCTGAAACCTTTATTCCTTCCCTGCAGCACATCACAAGCAACCCTGTATTCATCACCGATGGGATCTCTCCGACAGACATCTGTCAGGGGGTGCTTGGTGAGTGGGATGCAGGAAGATGGTCTCTACTGTTGGAGGGGTGAATCTGGGAAGGGGTTAGGGGACAGGGTTGTTTTTTTTTTTTTTTTTTGAGACAGGGCCTCACTCTGTCACCCAGGCTAGAGCGCAGTGGCGTCTTCATAGCTCACTGCAGCCTCCAACTCCTGGGCTCAAGGAATCCTCCAGGGTATCTTCTGAGGCTGAGAAAACAGAGAACCCCCCCCCAGTTCAGACAACCCGCTTCTGCACCCTCCCTGCCCCTCCCAAATCTAGATGCCCCCCCCCCGCCCCACTGCAGTCCGGGTCTGGGGGGGAGCTGGAGGGATATATTGGTTATTTGTGGCTACATGATCAATTACTCAAGACTTAGTGGCTTAAGTCACAACACACATTTCTTATCTCACAGTTTCTGTGGGTCAGGAATTTGGAGGCAGCAGAGCCAGGTGGGCCTGGTTCGCGGGGATCTGTCACGAGGCTGCAGAGGAGATGCCAGCTGGGCTGTGGTCGTGGGAGGCTTGGCTGGGGCTGATGCATCTGCTCCCAGATAGCGCACTCACGCGGCAGGAGGCCTCAGTTCCTTGGCATGTTGAGTGCGCACACAACATGCGAGCTGGCCCCCCCAAAGCGAATGGTCCAAGAGAAAGGACAAGGCAGAAGCCATAATGCCTCTTACGACCTAGTCTCAGGAGTTGCACGCCATAACTTCCGCCATATTACATTCGTCAGAAGTGAGCACCGAATCTGGTCCACAGATTCGGTGCTCACTTTTGAGGGGAGGTTGGTCAAGAAATTTGTGGACATATTTTGAAACCACCACAGGTGCTAGAATCAAACAGAGGAGCCACAGGGTCCACTCAGCCCACTCCCCCCAGGCTCCCGTAGACAGCCCTGGGACAGAGCCTCCTGCCTGCGCCTGGTCCTGGTCCTCAGTTTCCTCCAAACCCTTCATTGCCTCTTTAGGGAGAAGGCCAGGGTGGGCTTCCTCCGGGACAGAATTCTGTGGCTGTTCAGGCTGAGAAAATGGCGGGGTGTGGGCAGGGCAGAGGCCAGGAGACCTCACGCCCCAGGGCTCTGCTGAGGCTCACTGGTTGGAGAGGCACAGTGAGGGCAGGGCTATGGGCAGGGAGAAGCTACTGGCTTCTCGCCAGTCACCTTGATGGTGATGGGGACCGGAGCATCCTTACCCTTCCTTTCGCGCCCTCTGCCTCCCCAGGCAGCCAGGAGGCCACTTGGTAATGGCAGCAGTTTCCAGTGCCCTCAGCCTCAGCCTGGCCTGAGGTGACCACCAACCTTCCTCACCCCCCTACCCCCCAGTGAGGGCTGAGATGCCCAGGAGATAGCTGGCAACGATGACTCACGGCACTCTTGCCCCACAGGCCAGGAACACTGCCCCTGTGCCCCCATCAGTGCCCAGCTCCAGGGACCCCGCTGAGGTAGAGACTGAGTCCCGAGTCTCCAATATAATGTGGTGACGTGGTGGAGAGACGTCTGGGACCTTCACGGCCTCACCAGTGTACTCACAGGGGTAGGGGTGGGGGGGTCAGGGAGCAGTGACTGCATTTGTTCAAGGGATGGGAGAGTATCGGCTCTCTCCCAGAGAAAGCAGGTTCCAGGGCGGGGAGCAAGACCCTGAGGCCCGAAATACCTGCTCCCCTAACTCCAGAAAACAAAAGCATGTGGCTCTCATTTGTGAATCTCTCCCATAAATGGAAACGTACAGAGACTCACCCGCCCAGAGCCTGTCTCTCCAGCCTCAGCCTTCCCTGTTTGCCTCCTTCCGGAACACTCTTTACAGGGAGGCCGAGGGAAGGCGCATCTCTGCTGGGGGCGGGGATGGGGACAGGGCCAGGGTCCTGCTCCTCCGGGGCTGGGATTCTGGGCGCCCCACACAGACGGGGCGCTCAAGGGGCAAAGCCCTGCTGTCTTCCAGGAGACTGCTGGCTGCTGGCTGCCATCGGCTCCCTCACCACGAGCCACAAACTGCTGGGCCGCGTGGTGCCCCGGGGCCAGAGCTTCCGGAAAAACTACGCCGGCATCTTCCATTTCCAGGTGCAGGGCGATTTGACAGCCAGAGTGGCTTTGTGGTGTGTCTGTGTGTGTGTG